CCATTTAAAGCAGCGCAACAATCTTTACCCAAACTTGCTGCATTCTTACCATTCTTAATTACATCCTTTATATCTTTTAGGCAAAATGGGGCGGACACTGCAAACTTTAGACACTTAAAAATGCTATCATCGTTCATCTTAGGTGAAGTTTTTCTCATTTCTTGGGCAAGTCCCAATTGAAGAATAGATGCTATGCATGCCACAAGGAGGCAGAAACCAAGTGCCTTTGAGGATGCAAATTCCATGATAAATTGTTTTTGTGTTATGAAATGTTGATTGTTAGAATGAAAGTTTGATGGCATTTTATAGTGTTTTTCAAGGAAGTATTTTGTGTGTATAAAGATTTTTGGTTTTATGGCAACAAAAATCCTTATACATATAAAAAAGTGGCAACAAAAATCCAAAATTGATTTCCATGGCAACAAAATTCCTTTGCCATATTAAAAATAGGCAACCAACCTTAATGCATCCAATTTTGCCCAAGTCAGTTATAGCAACAAGATAACTTTATTTGTTTTTCAAATTTTGACACCCAAAATTAAGTTGAAAAACAATGAGTGGGCCAACCTTTTACCTCTTAATAAAAAAAATTTAAATTTAAATTATAAAAATTTGTCAAACTTCGAAAATTTCTTGAGAGGGTGATAATGCATAGAACAAAATTAATTGTGTTATTCTGTGTAATTTGTGAGGATCAATGGAACAATCACAACAATATTTTCTGGGGAATCAGGATTTACAACCTCAAGAAATCAAACTAGTGAAATGATGATACGAGAGGGAAACTTGAATTGAAATAACAGCAAAAGCCTTTATAGAATCCTATGATTATTTTTCTATATTTTGCATTTAGAGAGTACAATAGTTAGGGTTCAAAAATGGTTCAGTATATGAAAGAGACTATTTTTGCCCTTTCCCATCATGTTTTATTAAAATATTGTAATTTTGGGATCCTTTTCCTATTATTTTTTTAGATATCCAATTAATAAGTACAAATCACACACACAAATATAAAAGTATATATTTATGTACACATGGGAAAAGGGAAAATCAGGGTGTCTTGGCATTAAATATGCGCAAGGGTGTCTAATAATAGTTGCATCATGAATTCGATAACATTAGGACCCACATTATTCTAAACACATTTAATGGTTGTGGTTGAACATCCTGACATTTTTAATTCAGGACGCCTTGATTTTCCCTTTTCTCATGTACACACATTTATTTAACAATATTAAATCTTCTATTATCGATAAAATGGTTATTTATTTTTGATTAATGTTAA